CGGGCCCGGGCGGCCGGGGCCGGACGAGGCTCGCGCGCCCTTTCCCAGCGCCGCTTTGCATGTGCCCGGAAGGGAGCGGAGGGCGCCTGGCTGCCCGCTGGACGCCCGCTGCCCTACTTTGTGTTTGGAGGAGGAAAATAACCAGGCAACTTGGTAGTCAGCTCACTGCAGCGCCCTGCTCTGCTTTATTGGGGCTCAAAGATCTGGCTTAGTTTGGAGACAAGCTTCGTTTTGTTGGAGGATAATTCGGCCGAGAAGTAGTTTAACTGTTGAAACGCTGCTTTTCTCTAGCGCCAGCGTAAAGGTTTCCTTGGGAAAATGCGTTCTCGCGGGAGTCGTTGCTCCGACAGGGTTCTGTATTTATTTCAGGCAAAAGGGGCACGTTGTTTTAGCAACGTCTCTTCTGTAGTTTCAGCGTAGCCGGTTGTTGTTGTGTTTCTTATATAATGTTACCACAGATCTGCCTGACTATTTTACGTGTCGTACAGTTCGCTCTTCTCCCCTTGGTGTTCATATTTTCCTGCTTAAAGTAAACCCCAGAGGGAATAAATCAGCAGTGTTTATTTAAACAAACCACAACTTTAAGAAAATATTTGAATTTTGAAATATCCTTTGCCATCCACCAATCGCATTTTTAACGTTGTTTAGAAACATTGATAAGTAATTTTGTAAGCAACTGCTCTCCTACCTCAGCTCGGAGGGTCCGAGCCTTTGATATACTGTTAGGTTGGCTCGTTTGTTTCTGCACGTTTCCGTGGATTGCTTAAAAATGCTGTTCCTCTCTCCCTGCCTTCTCCGTCTTTCAGATGTGCCCTACTTTGGATATCCCTGCGTTGAATGTCTAAGGAGCTCCAGCTACTCCTGAGCCATGTCGCAGATGTTGCACATAGAGATTCCCAACTTTGGGAACACCGTCTTGGGCTGCCTCAACGAGCAGCGGCTGCTGGGGCTCTACTGCGACGTCTCCATCGTGGTCAAGGGCCAGGCCTTCAAGGCACACCGGGCGGTGCTGGCTGCTAGCAGCCTCTACTTCCGAGACTTGTTCAGCGGCAACAGCAAAAATGCCTTCGAGCTGCCAGGTACCGTGCCACCGGCGTGCTTCCAGCAGATCCTCTCCTTCTGCTACACCGGGAAGCTCACCATGGCCGCGAGCGAGCAGCTGGTGGTGATGTACACCGCCGGCTTCCTGCAGATCCAGCACATCGTCGAGAAAGGGACGGACCTGATGTTCAAAGTGAGCTCCCCGCACTGTGACTCGCAAACGGCCATGATCGAAGACCCCAGCTCGGAGCCGCAGAGCCCCTGCACCCAGCTGCAGGCCGCCTCAGCACCCTACGTCATGTCCCCCTCCATGCCCATCCCGCTCCTCACC